TCCATTCGCCATTCGCCAATATATCCGCCGAATCCGTGGATCCCGCGCGCAGCTGTGTGGTGGCATTGGCATCATCCATCACAACTGCACGCCGGAGTACCAGGCGTTGGAGGTGCACAAGGTTAAGAAGTACAAGCACGGCTTCATGCGCGATCCCTCGGTGATGTCGCCCACAAACACTGTGGGTGATGTTTTGGAGGCGAGACGCAAAAATGGCTTCACCGGCTATCCGGTCACCGAGAATGGCAAACTAGGCGGCAAGCTGCTGGGCATGGTTACGTCGCGGGACATTGATTTCCGTGAGAATCAACCGGAGGTGCTACTGGCCGATATCATGACCACGGAACTGATCACCGCCCCCAATGGCATCAATCTGCCGACGGCCAATGCCATTCTGGAGAAAAGCAAGAAGGGAAAGCTGCCGATTATTAATCAAGCTGGTGAACTGGTTGCCATGATTGCCCGTACGGATTTGAAGAAGGCGCGTTCGTATCCAAATGCATCCAAGGACTCCAACAAGCAGCTCCTGGTGGGCGCTGCCATTGGAACACGAAGCGAGGATAAGGCGCGACTCCAGCTGCTGGTGGCCAATGGTGTGGATGTGATCATTCTGGACTCGTCGCAGGGCAACTCCGTCTATCAGGTGGAGATGGTCAAGTACATCAAGGAGACGTATCCCGAGCTGCAGGTCATTGGCGGCAACGGTGAGTAATCTTTTCGGCATATTTTTTTAAGTATACCATTTATAAGCAATATTTGTTAGCTTATTTTTCGTTGCTCTATGTGATAAATTAATAGATTTCCATACTATATTTTATATTTAATATATCATTTACTTATTTATTACTTTTGTTTATTTTTAAATATGAAGTTATAACACATTTTAAATATGTATTTTCTTATTTTTTCGATAAGAAAGAAGTCACTCGTTATAAGAACTAGTATAGAGCTAAAAAGAAGTAATAGTTTAACTTACTACTTTTTAAATTAAATATTACTTACTTATTATTTACTTATTATTTTTTTATTTATTTTTATATATATACATTTTTTATTTAAAAATCAAGGTATTTCAGTTTTAAGAATGTATCTCCCAATTTTTCAATACTTTTTCACGTAGCTTAGAGGTTAAGAAGAGTATTAAATTTACTTACAAGATTTTACATTAAATACATTATTACTTATTTGTTATTTTATTTATTTATTATTTTTTATTTATTTTTAAATATACAATTTTTGAGTTCGAATATGAAGTTATTCCATATTTTAAAAATCGTCCCTTTTTATAACACACGAGTATAAAGAAAAGTAATAGATTTTATATTTAATACGTTATTTACTAATTTATAATTTTTATTTATTTATTTAATTTTAAATATATATTTTTATTTATTTAAATATCAAGTTTTTCCAGATTTTAAAAATGTATTTCCCATTTTTTTTCAATACTTTCTTATGCACTTGTCACTCGTTATAAAAAACCAATCAAAGTAAGATAAGTAATAAGTTTACTTACAAGACTTTATATTTGATACATAATTTAATTATTTATTATTTTATGTATTTATTCTTTTATTTATTTATTTTTAAATAGATACCATTTTTAAATTTAAATATCAAGTTATTTTCTATTTAAAGAATGTTCTTGTCGCTTTTTAAAAAACATACGAGTATAGAGCTAAAGAAAAGTAACAGATTTACTTCATAGATTCCATATTTAATACGTTGTTTACTAACTTATAATTTGTATTTATTATTATTTTTTTAATATAAACATTTTTTATTTAAATATTAATGTATTCCTTATTTTAAAAATGTATTTCCTTATTTTATCATAAGAAAGAATGCACTCGTCGCTCGTTGCAAGACGATATGAGTATATTTATTTATTTATTTAGTTTATTATTTTTAGTTCATGTATTTACATTCAAGATCAAATTATTCCAGATTTTAAGAATGTATTTCTTTATTTTTTAGAAATTATTTATACTCTCGTCACTTGTTATTAGAACGACTGGAAAGAAGTAGCGTGAGCTTTAGTTTCCTTTACTTTCTGGATTCTAAATTAAATATTAAACTTCTCGAATATATCAAATAGTCAAATCTTATCTCAGTTAAATTTCACTTGTTTTGAAATAGAAAGCGAGCAATTATAAGCCCATTATCTACCGCAATAACTGATAACGTTACGATCAAAGCACAAACACCATAAAATTTAGGTTTTACCATATTGTTTTAATTATCTGATAAACTGTATAGAGTATTGTACATTGGGTTACCTTATTTTAGTTACTCTAATTAGTAATTATTGTAGTTATCTGAGTTTTGACTTGGGATGTATGTATGTGACGAAGATCAATTAACAGAGTCTTCAAATGGAGATTTTATATTATATAGAACATCTTGTTAAATAGTAAATATCAAAAAATATCGCATTTAATTTGAAAATATCGATTTTACCGTACAAATTATATTTCCGATATATATTTCTTTGATTTTCTTATATAAAACAATTAAAATATATTCTAATTCCACCGTTATTTCATCTATAATCCGCAGTGGTTACCCGTGCTCAGGCCAAAAATCTCATTGAAGCCGGCGTCGATGGACTGCGGGTGGGCATGGGCTCTGGCTCCATTTGCATCACCCAGGAGGTGATGGCCTGCGGCTGTCCCCAGGCCACGGCCGTCTATCAAGTGTCCACCTATGCCCGACAGTTTGGCGTTCCAGTTATCGCTGATGGTGGCATTCAGTCAATTGGACACATTGTCAAAGCATTGGCCTTGGGTGCCAGCGCTGTGATGATGGGTTCGCTGCTTGCGGGCACCTCCGAGGCACCCGGCGAGTACTTTTTCTCGGATGGTGTGCGCCTGAAGAAATACCGCGGCATGGGCTCCCTGGAGGCCATGGAGCGTGGCGATGCCAAGGGCGCTGCTATGTCGCGTTACTATCACAATGAGATGGATAAAATGAAGGTAGCCCAGGGCGTTAGCGGCAGCATTGTGGACAAGGGCAGCGTTTTGCGTTATTTGCCGTATCTGGAGTGCGGACTGCAGCATAGTTGCCAGGACATTGGTGCCAACTCGGTGAATAAATTGAGGTAATTACTATATTCTATATAAAATATATGAAAAGACTGTTTTAACCTGGTTTATATACTTGCACAGGGACATGATCTACAATGGCCAACTGCGCTTTATGAAGCGAACCCATTCCGCTCAGCAGGAGGGCAATGTTCATGGCCTCTTCAGTTACGAGAAGCGTCTCTTCTAACATACACCCTCGGCTGCATCGGCCATGGGTCCAGTCCATCACCAGCAGCACCAACATCATTCACACCAACAGGAGCAGCAACAGAATCAGCAGCAGCAGCAGCAGCAGCAACAGCAACAGCATCGCCACCGATCTGATGGAGGAGGAGCCCATCTGCCCGACTATGCCCGCCTATTCGAACGCAAGTGAAAGATTGGGCCAACTTTATTTCCCGCACACCCTGGAGTTATTTACCAGTGTCTAGGCTTAAGTTTAACGTTGGAATCGCTGGCAATCGTCGCTGGTCAGGATTCCGATTTCGATTCCGATTCAACTCGAATCGCCCCTCATGTTTTTCCCTAAATATTAAGTGTTTGCAGTATGTAATCTATATACATATATATATATATATATATATCGATATATATCCTTATCTATTATGTATCGAACGCTTACGTAATTGCCACGTTCGATGCATGTACTATATATAGATGTTTATCTCTATTTTGTATAGTGTTGGATATGTACAATTCTCTTCGAAAAAAAAATTGTAAAACTCTTAATATGCCAAACTTATTAAATGTGAACTGAAACTGAAACAGGTAACTAATCGTGTGCATATCTCCACTCTTTTGGGGAATTTATGAGGGGTTTAGCTTATCAGGCGAGGCCTTGAGGGCCTTATCAGCTCCATAAATGTAAATGTAATGTAATTACATTACATATTTCTATGTAATCACATATTGTTGCTGCCCGGAAGAGGTTCAACAACATTTTTGTATGGGGTATTCTCAAGGAGAGATGAAAAGGGTTTTTTTTATTTAAAGAGTTCTGAAACTGATTAATCCTCTAAATATTTACTTAGTAAATTAGTTAATTATTCCCCAATAAATACAAATTCATGTTAGAATATAGTTGTATATATTTTTCCCGATATATTTTGAAGTACATAAGTATAAGTTTGATTATAGATTGAATTTAGCAATGGAATCGAAAAGATCTTTGATGTTGATTAACCCTTGGTAAGGACACTTAAATAAGCTATATATACAGTGTACAAAAATGCCGATAAGAGCCAAAGTATAGACATAGAAAAAAATTTGTTGGTTACTTGCGAGATTTTTGAAAGCAGACACCAAAAAACACACTCACACTCTCTCGCTCTATAGATCGTTCTATCTCTCTCTCACACACTCACACACACAAGCACACCCACGCAGGCATATCAAAAATATATGTATATTATATATATATATATATATATATATATATATTTATATGTATATGTATATGTTTATGTATATTTGTATATTTGGAGCTAGGCCCTAATTTTTGCAAAACTGATTTCTCTACCAAAAGTTATCGAAAATAATAATTTTTTATAAAAAAAAATGAATTTAAAATGTTAATAATTTACTGACTATTCAAATTCCATAGATTTGTTTAAAGCTATTATCAAAAGCACTTTTAATGGTATTATAAGTTGATTTAGAAAGACAAAGATATCGAAAAATTTTATATATTAAAATATTGAAATGATGGAACTATTAAAAAAAAAGTTTTCAATTTGTCTGTTTTCTTTACGATTATGTTGCTCCGATATATCAAGCAAAAAAGTCAATTTATCGCACGATTAAAATATCTATTTATTTATCGAATTTCTTGATATTTATCGAACTGAAAATAACAGAAAGCAGAATTCTTTCTTTAAGTAAAATTCTTTAGCATTTAGAAATTAGTTTAGTTTAAACGAGACATGATTTTACTAAAAAACTCTTATGAATCATAAATTCTGAGCTTTTTTAAATTTTCAAAACAACTTGACAGAGAAATCAGTTTGCTAAAATGCGGCTTTTTTTGGGGTGGAGGTGGGAGGTGGGGAAAACATCCTGGAATTGGGCTGTGCTCATTCAGTGGGCGGGATTGTCGGGGGCAAGGCAATGCCATTTCTCATGAAAATGATCCGGCAAACGGATGCAGTCGAGCCACTGCTGCAGGCGATCCCCTTGCTTTGGGCTCCCAGTTGGAGGCTGCCAAGGAAATCGTTGCTCTTGCCCAGATCCTTGTCCCAAACGGTCAGAATGAGCATCTCCTTGTTGAGGTCATGGGGACTGGCCTCGAAGTAGAACTCCTCGTTGTAGATGGGATTGAGCGTGCGCCATTTGACGCTGGTCTTGTGCTTCTTGTTCTTGTGCGCATCCGGTTTGAGTTGGCTGTAGAAATAAATACGATTAATGATTTATGGATGGATTGATCAGGGATATACTCACATCTTAACGAAGGGATCGGAGCTGCCATTGTTATCCATGGCCATTAGATTGATGCATTGCTTCACATTCACCACCAGTGCCCGGCGCTTGGTGTTGTAGCACAGTGAGAGCAACATTTTCCCATTTGGCCAATTTTGGGACATTTCCGCTGCATTACTATATTGATCCTCCACTCCCAGTGGCACCGAAATGCGGTACTGCGATGTGCTGTGCACCTAGAAAAGAGATTTTATGATTTTCCATTTAATTAATTATTATTTTCATTAGTTTTATTAAAAACTATTGGTTAAATTGCAGTGTCTTGTCTAGAGTCAAGAAGATGAAGCTTTTGTAGGAGCGAATGTTTCCGTTTCCGTTTCGCAACATCTCAGTTGGGAGGTTTAATGAGGTCTTGGTTAAGAGTGTAAGATTATATTTTAAATCTCTTAAGGCATATTTATGCAACTCTCTTTTTCTCTTTCTCTTCGCCGCTCTCTTTCTCTATTTCTCGATTGGTCGATTTCTCTATTTCACTATTTTTCTATTTTTCTATTTCTCTATTTCTTCATATCTCTATTTCTCTCTTTCTATATTTCTCTCTCTCTCTCTGCCTCTCTCTCAATTCAACACTTCGTAGCGAACGAGAGAAATCCTTTCAGCTGCATTTAAAAGAGAGACTTGCACTTCATCTCTCCTAATACCATTAAAAGACATAAGAGAGAGGAAGAGAGAGAGCGAGCGAAAGAAAGGAAGAGAGAAAGAGAAAAAAAAGAGAGAGAGAGAGACAGACACAGAGAGAGAGAGAGAGACAGAGAGAGAGAGAGAGACAGAGAGAAAGCCAGGCAGAGACGGAGAGAGAGAGAGACAGACAGAGAGAGAGAGAGACACACACACAGAGAGAGAGAGACAGATAGCGGAAAGGAAAGAGAGCTTCTTTAGTTCGTCTTTGGGAGAGGATTTGAATCAAAGGAGTTGGGGCAAACCTTGTAGTAATAATAATACTTTAAAGCGAACAAGAGAATTCTCTTTAACCCCCCTTAGAGAAAGCTTTGTATTAGGTTAGGTTAGGTTAAGTCTTTCCGTATAAAATGCAACAAAATCACAAAAAAACAGAAATTAATATAGAAAGAAATCAATAAGAAAAGAAAGAGAATTAATTGCATTCGCTCTTGGTCATAGGGGTAAAGCACATCCTAACGCCTCTGGTTTTAAATTTAATTCAAACTAAAATCCAATTAAAACCAAAAAAAACATGGCTACATCCGGTACGTCAAAAGCTCGTGTTCGTTCGTGTTCAGATCTCTTGTATTTGCATTATTCTGCGAAATTACCGCAGCAGCAGTTGCAACACAAACACAATTTCTGGCTTAACTCGTTTCCCGGTAGGAAGTGCCTTGCGGGTCAGTTGAACCAAGCAATTACGCAGTTCAAACGAGTCAGCTTAATGGTTAGTGTAAACCGGAAACGAGTTGCCGGAGGTGCGCTTCCGCCAAAAAAAATTAAATAAATAAAGAGAGAGATAGAGAGATAGGGACTCACCGTGGATAGGCAGACCTTGGCAGCACCGAGAAAATCATGGCCATACTTGTCATCATCGAAGAGTGCCACATACAGCAGCGAATTGCCCAACTCCTCCGGCTCCACGCCGACGAACTGCAGCGTCTCATTGAACTCGGGATTGCGGGTCTTGTGCACCGTCTTGGTGCGTTGCCACCGTGTGTATTTGGTATGCGCCTCCGGTGTGATAATGTTGAGCTTGCAATACGGATCCGCCAGTCCGGCGGCATCCATGGCCGGCAAATCCCTGGCCCGCACCATGGTGCAATCGAGACTATGGAATGCCTCGCGATAGCTAATGGCGATCTCCAGCCAACCGAGCAAGGGATCTCGGCAGTGTTGCTGCTGCTGCTGATGGAACTGGGACTGCGACTGGGCATGGGCTTGGCCCTGTGGCGTATGGGAATTCCCCGAATTGCCGGACCCGGAGCTATCGCTGATGGACCACGAGGAGCTGACCGAGCCGCGTCGCAGGAAACTGCTCTCACGTCGCAGCTTGGACATGCTGACACTATCGTATTCGGGACACTCCGATGGCCGTTGGCTCTGCTGGCGGCCAAAGAAGAAGGAATTCGATAGCTTCCGCTCGCCGCCGTCTATGAAGCTGCGTATGGAGCCGTAGGCACGCAACCGGAAGCTGTCATCCCGCTGGAGACGTCCGGTTCCGGTGCCCTTGGTCATGCCACCAGCTGTGCTTCCAGCCGGGCCGCCGCCGCCGCCGCCATCCAGTTCATCCTCCGGCTCCGAGTGACCACTGCTGCTGGAGCTGCTGTCGTTGACACGGATCGTTAGCTTCTTTACCCGCGCTGGACGCGTCGGCGTTGCATGGCAGCTTTGAACGGCCCGCGTGTCTCCTGCGATGACAGAGACAAGAGACAGCGATTAGCGATAGACGATAAGTGTCGATAATCGATAAGCGAACGCTGTTGAGTTTCCCCGATGAAAACCAGAAGAAGTTATTCCGATTTTCAAACATGTCGATTACCGATATTTCCGGTTTCTTTGCTTTTTAAATTTTTTTAGTTTGTAATTTAGTAAACGTTAACAAAGTCAGCGATTATAGCGATAGTCGTTCGTTGATAAAGCGATATTTGTTGCTTGCTCTGAATGAAGGATTATAATTATCGATGATTGATGAAGGAGTTGGAGAAACATCAGAAGTGAAGAGAGACTCTAGAAATGTACCCGCCGATTTATATATATTATATATTTCCTTGTTTGATTCTCTACTTGCTTAGTAATTTTGATTGAACCGATTTTGATTTGATATTTATATTATTTTTCTTTTCATTTTATTATTGTTAAATGACTTTGAACGAACTACAGCTTAGTGACATCCAGTTGAAGCTCTGATTATGGTTACCATACAAAAAGCGTCTATGATTTGAACTATGGAAACGGAAACATTTCATGATGTTCCTGAAACGAGATTTGAAAACATTGGTTAAGGTGTCTTCAAATAAACAAGGTGTATCTGTGCGTTCTGTTGGTGTTAAAAAATTTTGCTTTTATAAGCAAGACACGCGCCCTGATCCTATGTCCTATGGTTAACCATTCCCGGAGGTTTCAATAATTCCCCAAACTAAATGCAAAGGACGAAGGACACAACCTCAGTCAATCTGCTCTGACTTCCGTTTCATGGCAATGACATTAAACATTTATATAACCTATGTCACAAACTAATAAATATTGCAACAGGAAGAAGCTGTGACAACCAATTTGTTGAGAAATTTGCGGGTCCGGCTTTTGGGTTTCAGGCTTATGAGCAATTCAATTTGATTTAAAGTCGTTTCAATAGTGCAAATTAATGAAATATTCTTGATTTTAAGTACTTGGGGAGTAACTGTGGTGGAATTAAAGCCGAAAATCGTTTAAAAATTCGGTAAATAGTAATTTAAACACCTTATGAAAAATACTATTGATTTCTTTTGTAGATCAAATAAAATAAGATGCGTAATGCGCATTCCTTTGACGTTTTGAGAGATTTAAAATCTAAAAATAAAGGAGTAAGGAGTAATTCCTTGCAGTAATATTTCAAGAGAACCTAGAACCAAAAAATCATACGCGTTGCGCATCTTAACGACTATAGCTTATAACTTTTTGGAAAGATACAAATTGAATACAGCTTCAACTTCAACTTCAACTTCAATTCAATTGTTCGAACCGGTTATTTTCAAATTGCTTTGAAATATTCGGGGCCCCTCAATTAATTTCGATTTCAAGGGAACCACAGCAGCAAACTGAATTTCGCGTAAAATTTCTTGCGAACTTTTCCGCCCTTTTGAACTTTGCGGCAAGCGTGAAGGGTTTAAATTCCTAACACGTTCCAAGGCCTGCTCCTGCTCCTGCACTTCCTTCTTCTCCACCTCCTTTACCGCCTCCTCCACCTCCTGGTCTTCCACCCACCTGCCATGGATCCGGGTAACGGGGTGGGCGTGGGTGTGGCACTGGCGCTGCGCGGCATATCGTACTTGGGCAGGCCCTTAAAGAACCAAGCGCCGGATTTCTTCCACATTTCGCGCGTCTCGGAGCAGATGCGGCATAGCCAGATTTCGCGGCAACGCTCGCTGGTGTGATAACGAATGTTGATGTCCACACTGCACTTGGTGCATACCGCCTGGCGGCAATCCTCGCAAATAATGCGATGCGGCCGCAGCAGCCCGAAGGCGTCGCCACAGAGGCGACAACAGTTGGGGCCACGTTCCACGGCATGTTGCTTGATCTTTTCCACACGCTCCACCAGGCGACCGACACGCTGGCGCTCGGCCACCTCGATCTCCTCGTTGCGTCGAATCACCGAAATGATGGCCTCTTGCTCCTCCGGTCGCAGGGGTTCGCTGGTCTTTGAGCTGCTCCAGCCGGCTTTTAATCTGGGAGGAAGTGAGAGAAGTAGAGAGAGAGGGAGAGTTAGGAATTAGAATTGTTAGAAAGAGTTAGTGGGCATTACTTAGTTTATCACAAAAGAATATAAATACATATAAGATGCATAACTCTACACATTTAATATGAGCTAGAGTGAGAAAGAGAGAGTCAGGAGCTCACACAGCAATATTTTTGAATCAGTTTGCTTTAGGTTTTTCCCATAAATAAATAAGACAAAGGAAACTAAGGAAAATAAGGACAAACAAAAAGGAAACCAGCCGCTCTTTGGCATTTTTTTATACCCTTGCAGGGTATTACAATTTCAGTCAGAAATTTGCAACGCAGTGAAGCAGGCACCTTCGACCATATAAAGTATATAGATTCTTGACCAGGATCAACAGCCGAGTCGATCTAGCCATGTCCGTCTGTCCGTCTGTCCTTCTGTCCGTCTGTCCGTCTGTCCGTTTCTACGCAAACTAGTCTCTCAGTTTTGAAGCTATCTGAATGAAACTTTGTAGTTAGCCATCTATATACTCTCACTCGTATATATGTATGTCGGAACGGGCCGGATCGGACGACTATATCATATAGCTGCCATAGGAATGATCGGAAAATTTTTACAAAAAAAATTTTAACTTTTTCAGTTTTTAATAGAATTGGATCAAATTTAAGATATAGCCATTTTAATACAATTTTGCATACAATTTTATGAAAATCGGACTACTATATCATATAGCTCCCATAGGAACGATCGAGAAATTAATCTTTTTCAGTTTTCAACAGATTTTTATCAAATTTGAGGTATATCCATATTATATTAGTCTTAAATTTGGTGTCAAATTTCATGAAAATCGGAAGGCTATATCATATAGGTGCCATACAAACGATCGTTTGATGTAGAGGAAAAATACAAATCTGTGAATGTAAAGCTGCAAATATAATATGTATAGGTGAATGAAATGAAAGCAGGTATTACTTCATTGTTGTTAGTCATAGAAGTTCTATCTGTAAGGGTATATAAACTTCGGCGTGCCAAAGTTAGCTTCCTTTCTTGTTTACTCTGAGTGCTTCAGCTTCCACAAATATGCACTCCACACTCTATGCACTAAGGTATTTTTTTTTTACTCTGAGCTTCCACACACAAATGTGTTGTAAAAGGTGTTAAAGGGGTGTCGAGGAGGGATTGTTGTTTTTTGCGGAGGGGGTGGTGGTTGGGTCTCAGCCTAATGAGCATCGTTAGTTGTGGAGCCGCCTAATGCGGTTTCCATGTTGCCGACCGCCACTCTGTCCACTTGGCCAAAATGTCAAGTTCAAAGTTAATTAACTCGTCCCTGCTTTTGGGTCCCTGGGTTCATTACACCCGAGGCTCAAAGGGGTGTACTAAGGGGCCTTGAAACATTCACAGCCAAGGCTGGAATAAAAAACTGGTAGTAAAGATAAAGGAAACCTGTTTAGATCTAGCACAAGTATTAGAGATAATAAATACAAATATTTTGGGACTAAGTGAGTTTGCTGATTTCAGCTAATTTCTCTAAACAGCCTCTGAGAAATGTAATTTTGTCTAAATCTAAGGTTTTTTTTAGAGTTAAAAATATATTCATTTCAATCAAGACTTTTTGTATCCTTTATGACAAAACTTTCATATATTTTTTGTCCTCATATGAACCCTTAAACTTAAGATTCCAATGCACCCAACTTTCATTATCCACATTTTCGTTTAACATTTGAATTTCAAATTTTTAAACAACAAAAGTTTAAGGATTCCAGGTGAGTTGCCTCAATTAATCAGGCGACCATGAAAGTATTTTGCTTTTGGACTCAAATAAAGGTAAGTGACTTCCGTCCATAATATACATATAAATTTAAGAAAAATATATATCATGTGATATGTTTTTAATGAAAACTGAGTAGAACTTCGACTTAACTTCCATCCTTCCTGGCAACTTGTAATCTTTTAGCTGCTTTTACCTCATTTGCATAGTTCATGATTGCTCCGGGTTTTGCCCAGGAATGAGCTTCGGTTATATAGCCACTTTGGAATCACTTACACGGAGCATTAAAAAAAAATATATGTATACCCGGGAAGGCCACATACGGGCACGCACCACTCATGGAATGGCATGCAAATCCGGGCCAAGAGGAACCTCCTCCGGTCTCCGGTCTCCTGGACTCCCAGTGTGCGTGTTGCCTTCGCGCTGGGTTTATTGACTCTCCGTGTAATTGATTGCGTTGTGTGTGTAGTGTGTGTGTATGGTTTTTTGTTTTGTTTTTGCTTAAATGCCCTTGCGGGTTGCTTAACATCATAATTAAATTACAAATTCGTTTAGTGCTCTATCAACATTGGCCCGTGTTGTTCACCGAATAAGCAAATCAATGGGGAACCCCCGCCGCCGCCGCCGCCGCCGCTCTCGAGCACTTCAACTTTCGTTCGATCCACTCAGGATGGGTCCTATCCTGCCAGTCCCAAATTGATGGTTAGGTTACCAAGTTTATTGTTACACAAAATCTGATTGTTTCACAGAGAAAAACCAGAGTGGAGGGAAAAGGCCGTCAGTCACTTCAGTTTAATGTCCAATGTACATGAGCCGGCAGACTCTGCATGACGAAATCAATTGCGAGGAGAGTGACTTACATCTCTGTCAGGGGATAAGTAGTGAATTTGTTATTAAAGGGCGGCATTTTTATTCCAAAAGTCTCGGAAGAAAAACCGAAATTATACACTGGACACATATGGCATTTAAGGGAGTGCCTGTGTAGGAAGAAGAGTCTTAAACTCTGTCAGGTGATTACCAATGAATTTAATATTAAGAAGGAAAATCTAGAGGAAATATCAATCATTTGGAAATTATATATTAAAGACTCAGACCTAGGATATATCATTATCTATTAAGGATAAAAATATATATATCCCCAAGGTATGAAAACGGTCAAGAATAGAAAACATTTGGAAATTGTTGTGTTTAATCGACTTGAAATCGAAAAATATCGATATTCTTCCAGCTTAACTATGATAAAGAAGAGAAGTTAAGATAATACATGGAAGAATATATTTAACAATATTTATCTGTTAACAAGAAACGAAAAAGATTTAGAAATATAAATAATTTCAACAAGTTCAAAAAGAATCTATGTTATCGATGTTTTTTGTAGGAATATCGACTTGAAATAGATAAATATTGAAGTTTTTCTACCTCAACTCTGACTAAGCAAGTGGATTTAAATGGTAGATTGATAAAAATAATTCTGCGTTTAGTGGTATTTTAAAAAGAAACAATGTTTTCTTAAGAGAAATATCGACCTAAAATCGATTATTATCGGTGGTTTTAAAAATCAACTTTTGAAAACCTGGGGAATATACATGGTAAACTGAAAAATATATTTTGAAGTATGTCTCTGTATAGTTGCTAAAGAATTATTTTTACATTTTTTAAATAATTTTTTTAAAATGATATTAATACTACAAATCGACTTTAAATCGATAAATATCGATGTTTTGCATACAATTGATCCCACTTCACTATTTCTGTGTGCTCATTTCATTTAATCATAGCTGCTTAATCTTGTTTGGCCTAAACTTAACGGCCAGTACGAATACAATGGCCCAGAACTGGCAATTAAGTTAATTTATACAAAACAAAGGGGATTCGGTTTACAGGAGCTTGAGCGCCTAATTGCAGAATCCTTTAATACAAGTCAAAGTTAAAATAACTTTGAGTGTAAAATTAGTAGGTTTGCTTATTTAATTAACTGAAAAGTTTGTTCTAAAGGCTTTTGATTTGATTAAGCAGGGACATTGCTATATCCCAACAAACCTTCTTACTTTTTGTTTTTTTGCTGTGAATACGCATTTACAAAGAGGAAAATTATAATGCCAGGGGGCTCCAACAATGAGAAGCCACAATTTAGCATAATTTACAATTTTATTCCGGCTTCCACCACAGTTCCACGCACACACAAAAAACGCAGCGCTTTTCTTTCGGATTTTCTTTTACTTTTCCATTTAAATTCAATATCTCCTTGGCTTCGTTTATACATATATATATTCGAGAGGCATTCACACACGGATTTATTCTTGAGCTTTCGCACTGAATACGATATTCCTGTAGCCATGTACGCCTTATATATATTTTTAGTTCGCTTCGATGGGATGGGATGGGGTTTGATTTCAGTATTTCCGTATCTCCTCGCCAGTTACTTTGCGGTTACAGCTGAATTTAATAAAAGTCAAAGAGCTTGTCGTCAGATTTGGTGGCAGAGAGATCATCTCATTTGCATAGTTAAGCGAGTCCAACCGACTGGAGTCCTGTTCAGATCTAAAGTCTGGAGTGACTGGAGTGTCTGGCATGTGGCCGCGATTTGAGTTTCGCGTTAATTCCCCACATCCTTGGCTCGCTCGCCTCCGCTTCCTTTTGGCTCCTTTTTGCGGCCGTGGGGGCTCCCTTGAGCCGTAATTTGAATTTCAAGTACAGAGCCAATGCCACGAGGCGGCAGCTTATGGTTGCCTCCTGCAAACTCCCTTTGCAGTCGAAAGCTCTTTGTTTCCATCCTGCTGTTGGTCTTGTTTTGCGGGTTAGACTGGTCCTTGACACTTTGTTTTGTGCTAAAAAGGATGTTGGTTTTCTTTTCATAACTATTTTTAAGCCTGGTGTATATTTAAAATCATTTAAATTGTATTTTAATTTTATTTGTTTTAAAAAAAGAGTTTTATAACATTTAAAAAATATATAATATTATATAAGGTGCTCAAAATTGTATTCAAAATTATTACTCATACGCCCTGTTCTTCCAGCTTTATACAAATATTTTGGACTTTTCGATAAATCTTAACACATATCTCTACTGATAAATTTATAAAAAAAAATTTTATGTAGAAAATTTCATAAAAATGTTCTAATAATTTTGAATTGTTATGCATTTTATTACTCATACGCCCTGTTGTTTCTGCTAAGCTATTTTATATATTTTTAAGTGGGAGTAACTGTTTTTAATCTTAAAAATATATGCCTATTCGTAAATTAATAATATAAAATTTATGAAAAAAAATTTCTTAAAATTATCTAAAGTCTTTAAATAGTTATGCAGTTTTATTACTCATACGCCCTGTTGTTTTTGCTAAGCTATTTTATTTATTTTTAAGTGAGAGTGACTTTTTTGAAGCTTAAACAGATATCCCTATTCGTTGATTAATAATATAAATGTTATGAAAGCAAATTAGTTAAAATTATCTAAAGTCTTTGAATAGTTATGCACTTTTATTACTCATACGCCCTGTTGTCTTAACTGACCTATTTTATATATTTTAAGTTCAAGTAACTTTTGTGTAGTTTAGACAGATTCTTCTTATTAGTAAATTAATAATATAAATTTTATTAAACAAATTTTGTTAAAATTACCTTAAGTCTATGAATAGTTTATCAGGTTATTACTCATACGCCCTGTTGTTTCTGTTAATGTATTTTGAATGAATGAGACTTTTTTGATTTCTCCACAATTTATATTTATTCTGTATAATTTACCTATCATACAAACAAACCTATCGAAGCAGGATAAAGTATATATCTTTATATAATTCATAATCAAATTTAAGACTACAATTTATAACTCATACGCCCTGTTGTTTCTGTTTACGCATTTTTTTTACAAAATTTATGTGAGCAGGAATTTTTTATATGTATCAACATTGTGATCAGATATTTCTTTAATTTGAATAATTTACCTATCGAAAAAGTTAACTATTTTGATGGGATATACACAAATAAATGGATTATAAGAAATCTTTAAGCCTAATTAGCTTAGTTATTTTAACAGCAGAAGTAAAATGTTGCATACGCTTCTGTTAGTGTTTTTTAAAATGTTTAAAAACTTTTACCAGATATATCCTTCACAGCTCCATTTAATCTTTTAGCCAATTTACTGTTTTTATAGTTTAAATAACATTTTGTCTATTATGATTTTTAGCTCAGTATAAAAATTGTGATCTTTCCAATTTATATTATTTATAGTTATCCAATTTAAGTGAAAAAAAACATGGAAATCATTTAACAAATTTACGCTCCATAAACTTTCTGTTTTTTTTGGTTCACCCTATTTTTGCTGTGTGAGAGTGTGAGTGCTTACAATGTAGCGAGCGAGCGAACGGAAGTGTAAATTGCACACTTGAAACCTGCCAACCTTCACCTCTCCTTCGGCGCGCACTTCTGCCCATGCTGTGCGTGTCTGTGCGTGTTGGTGTTGGTGCGGCGTGTTTTTTTCCCCCTTACTTTTCCCTCTTACTTTTTTGTTGTTGTTGTTGCTGTATTTTTAATGCGCCCAAGTCGCATTTACAGTCAGCTGGGATTGATTCGAGGCGAGCTGGGCAGCCCCACGCAGTATGCTACATGGAGCATATGTTGGGGCTTTAGGCCGGGGAAGAGCGGTTAGTGGAAATTGGAAGGGGAAGTGGAAATGGAAATGGAAATGCTTCCATTTCGGCATGGGCGTGTTTCACAAATCATGTAAATGGCGGCCGCGTGCCCTTCGTTGTGTGTGTGTTTTGTGGTGCGTCAATTGCAATAAATAAATGAAAGCCTCTCGGCGAGGGGCCATAAATATGGCATAAGGGGGGTCGTAAAAAATTGAGCGTTATTAAAATTTAATTAATCTGTCAGCATGCAACAATTATGAATACAGTTCACACACACACACACACACACACAGAGACAGCAAGGACGACACATGCACGTGCACACATGCGGCTTTTAGTGGATCCGCCGCCATCTCTCTCCCCAGCTTCTTTTGCGGAATCCTTGACAGCTCAGGGACAGCTATCTCTCCCGCTCTCTCCCTCTCTCTATCTCTCTCTCCGGCTCTCCCGTCGCTGTGTGAGTGCGCACATGTATTTCATTTGATTAGGCTTTTGGCTAATCAGCCACAACCACACACTCACACTCACACTCACACTCTCACTCGCACCAAAGTCAAAGTTAATTAAATTATGACTAAAGCTTTTGTCAAGTTGTCCCCGCTTGTTTTTGTTTTTGTCATTCGCACAGGGACACCGAAACAGAAAAAAAAAACAACAAAACTAAATAGCTGTTATCAGGCAGCAGTGTGGCTGTTTTTGTTGTTGTTTTCGTTGCAGCTGCTCTGACGCACTCACACTCACACACACACTAAGTAAGGATAAAAAAGAGAACACCGCGGGAGAAAGAGAGAAAGGTACTGGGAGCCAATTGTTGCGTTTCAATGACACTGTGTTTTTGTTTTTTTTTTGTTCTTAAATTTCTGTTTGTGTTTTTGAAACAATTGCAACGGTACTCACTTGGCACGCAGGGCCAGCTGCCTATCGCTGGGACAGACAAACTTATTGGCCGTGTTGTTACGATTCTGGAAGTCCATCTTGTCACATTATCGTTGATATATTTGGCGGTCACCTGCACATCCGCTATGACTTTGCTCGCTATTGCTATTGTTGTTATTGCTCTCGTGCCAACTAACTGTTGTTTGCGGCGTGCAATGCAACGCAACGGAACGAAACGAGACGAGACGTGACGAGACAGGATAAAACACGTCCGAGTGCGCACGCAGCTGTTGTGCGACTGGAGGCACAATTGCCGCACAATGTCGACAAGGCAACGGGAAAAGCCACGGCGTTTACAGTTACCATTGCCGCCAGCCGCTAGAGATGACAATCTGCGCATTTTGTTGTTTATCGCAAAGGATGTGCTATCGAAATTGCACTCCATATAAATATTTGTATTGCCTACTTTTGAGCAACTTTTGTTTAAAACCCTTTTTTTTATTTCTGAATTGTGTTTTGTAAATTATACTGAAAGGAAACCGTTTTATACATAAGAATATAGTTTTTAAATGGTATACATTTAATTAAAGAATCATTTTCTTTTGTTTTGTTTCTAAAAAAGTATTGCCCTAAAGCCATAAGTTTGAAATAATATTAATATTAATTTTTCTTGACATCTGTACGTCTGTATATATTGCCTTTTCTCTTACATTATTTCGGAATATTTTATTTTTCTAAATAAATTAATTAATGTACAAGAAATAGTAATATTATCGATATGCCTTTGTGGCCACTATGAAAGTTAACTTAAAGTTGATCGATAAGCGGGTTCCATCGCTAGGCGGCACATCTCCACCGCTTCCCTCCCTCGCCTGTTGCACAGTGGAGTCGGCCTAACGGCCATATGGCCACGCGCAGGAAGCTGCCAAAGTGGCGCGAGCAGAGCGGAATGGCATTATGTGAGTTGTGCTGGTCCGAAGCTTTGTCATACTTGCACGCGCGCAGGCCGAAAGCAAAGCTCGGGGCCCCACTGCCTGCCACTTGAGCACGGTCATCGCACGGATAGTGCTGTCGTATATCCTTCGAAGTGATTCTATCTAATAAATAATTATTTCTAAATAAGTTTTTATGTAGTTAATAATTTAAAATATACCAAGTACCCAGATTAAAAACGACATTTTTGCGAGCAAGGTACTTAAAACCACAATGTCTTTGTAGAGTGTATGCAAAATTTTTATTAGAAACCAAAAAAAAAAGGTTGGGGTTTGCTTCTTTCAAATTTCATTGCATTTAAAGAAATTTTTGTTTATAGCATTTAAAAAATATACATTTTAATAGCTAAGTAACCCCTAGCCAGATTTGCCTTAAAGATAGCTAGATTGTCATCATTTACCGAAGGCTCTTGCACGCGCTATCTCTGTGTGTGTGTGCCTCTCTTCCGCTCTCTGCCCCGCTCATCCAGATCGCACCCTCGCAGCATAATTGTATTGCATACTTTGGCGCGCCGACTTGCCGGCGAGAGAAGTGGTGGGGGGTGTCGTAAGTTTTATGACTAAAACGGAGGCTTTGCTCTCACATCTGGTGAGGTGTATCAACTAATGTCAAAGGCGACAGGCGATTGCCTTGCCACGCACGTATCCTCTCCGCCACTCCCTACCTCTCTCTGTCTCTGTCTGTCTGTCTGTCCGTCTAACTGTTTCTGCTATGTGTTTGCTTGTGTGTGTTTACGTGTTCGTCTGTCGCTGTGTGGCCACACCCCTACGCACGATTCGTGCAGCCAAGCGGAATTTATGCGCTCCGGCTGGCAGAACGAGGGTCCAGCTTAATCCCCGTTAGTGGATGGCCAGAGCATTACCCTTTTTTTCTCTCACTGTGTGTGTGTCCATTTTAAATAAATGCTGACAGCTAAATGAAAATATTTAACGTACGTGCGAAGTTCTCAGCTGGCTGTCAGTGTCGCTCACTCACTGAATGTACATATGCATGTGTGTGTGTGTGTTTGTAAGTGTGTTGTTTTGTGTTGACATTTTTCGCCGTTAGCCGCTGGCAGTTGTCATCGCTGTTTGCCTTCCTGCCAGTTGTTGTTATCCTTGTTGTTCTTAGCTCTCTGTAACTGTTGACAGGATTAGGCATTCAAAGCGCGTTCGCCAGCTCCTCATGCCAGCGGCGACAATTGTCCTTCAAGCCCGGCCAGGACAACACTCGACGCTCGCGTAGCCGTAGCCAGAGGCCAGCAGCTATTTGGCTTAATGAGTGCCAGCTTGATTTCGAGCCCAACGTTGGCCAACTGTTGATAATGTGGGATTTTCGGTCAAATCCCTGCGAAATTGAGAACTCATCCCCGGGCAATCTAACGGATTTTCGCACTTTTACCAATTGCTCTCTCCGCCATTTTGTGCATTTAACTCGCATTATCCTTTTTACTTTTACTTTGTTAACCTTGAGATTTCTTCTCGCTTTCTTTTTCGTTAGCTTCTTGCCTTTCTTTTTATGGTTTAGTTTTATGTGATATATCTTTTTATTTTGGATGAGGACAAATTGTATGTATATATATATATGGGATCTTGGGGTTTTCCTTTTTCAAAAGTATCAAGATTTTTTTTAAATAAATAAAAACTAGAAATAGCGCAATCTTTGTGAAACCGCATACAAATTTTCCTATCAATTCTGTTGCCTTTGCAAATATAATCATAACATTTTGATCAATTAACAACTTACTTTTTAAATCTTTAAAGAAACCCCTTTATTCACTAACAAATAAATTTTCCAATGTTAAATTTCTTAGCTTTCTTTAAAAGATGTAAAAATAACTTTAAAAAACCTGTTTATCCTGATCCTGTTTATTTTTTAATTTAAAAACATGAAAACCAAACCTAAAAAGTAAAATTAGCATTCAAAGCTTTAAAAAAAAATAAATGAAATAAAAGCTTGATAGAAAAACAAGATTCTTGTGTCCCACAGTGCGTATGATTTCAGTTCTTAACAAATATTACGTATACGCCTAGGATGCCAGTTAGAACTTGCTTCAAGAAAATCTCTGAAATACAAAAATTTAAAATATTGTCCGTTTTTTATTAGATACACATTAAGCAACAATTAGCTGCTGTTAACGTTAAATTACAGAAATTACAGTTGAAGAAATTACAGTTGCAGAAGTTTAAACATGTTGCGCAGCATCCAAAAAAACAAATGTTATTAGGAACATGTTGTGCAACATTTAGGTGTTGCAAGCGCAAAATTGGATGTTGCAGAAGTTCAAAATACAAAAAAATTTCTTTGTTTAATAACTCCCATGTTTAATATGCGATTTTTAGTTAAATTATTACACTCATAAAAATATTTATTTGGATTTAAGAAAAATAACCAGGAAAGGCACCACAAAATCATGACAAGCGCCATAAACACAATTTTAAGGGTTTATTTTTATATTTTCCTTAAATTAAGGTGTTTTTTTCTGATTTGGTTCGTTTAGCTTCTTTCTTCATTTAAAGGAGAATTGTCCTTGTTTTGCAAGTGAATTTTTAGTGAAACTATAGCGAGGGATTTTATAACCAGTTGGGAATTATAAGCACAAGTTTCATGGTTTCCAAAATTGACCAGCAGTGATATTAGCCCGTAAATTAGAAACAAATTAAACGAAGCCAGATAAAAAAAACAACAATCCAAATTTGAGATACATAAATAGAAAAAAACCTAAAAAATTGTTTTTAAACCCCTATAAGATAAGAGATACGAGAGAATGCGCGAAAGTGAAAGAGACAGAGCTATTTGCTACTAACCTAAAGCAAATTGTGCAAGATATGCAAGGTCAAAAGCAAAAAAACAAAAACAAGGTATCTTCGGCACTCCGAAGTTTGTATACCCTTGCAGATTGCAAATTCGATCATTAAATTTTTTAATAATAATAATAGTAATAATTAATAATTTAGCAATATAAATTATATATAAACATATTTGGGTAAAAAAACAACGAAATAATTCATAGATTCATTACAGTCTCCAATAAATATTATATTTACAGTTTTACATTCAATGTTCTACATTTTCTCCTATATCTAACAATGTTTGTATGGCAGCTATATCATATACGCGTCTGATTTTTATAAAATTAAAACCGAAATTCTAGAATAATATAAAAAAAACTATACCACAAATTTAATAAAAATATGTTAAAAACTGAAAAAGTTATACTTTTATTCAAAAAATTGTTCATTCTTCTGTATGACAGCTATATGATATAGTCATCCGATCCGGTCCTTTCTGATTTATATACGAGTGAGAGTATATATAAGACTTAATGTAAAGTTTCATATATATATATATATAACAAGATAGCTTCAAATTAAGAGACTAGTTTACTTTAAACGGACAGGCGGACGGACAGACGGACATGGCTATATCGACTCGGCTGTTGATGCTGATCGGGAATACATACATATACTTATAGGGTCGAAAATGTCCCCTTCACTTCATTACAAACTTCTGACTAACATTAGAATGCCCTGAAGAACAAAACAAATTGTTTTTTAAATTAGAATCTTCTTTTTTATTATTATTTTTATTACATATGTATATATTGGGGGAATAATTTTAAAATTTGAAAAAAAAAAAACTAATGACATTCACAGAAAATTGCAGTTAAGAACCTTTATTATTATTATTTATGTATATAAGCTAAGACATGAAGAGGGTCATTTCTATGGTTAGGCAAGTGTTTTTATATTTTATAATGTAATAGTGTGTTATATCATTTATATAGAGAGAGGTTTATATGGCTACTGTTTTTCGGGGCATAAATATGTAAGTTTGCTTTTTCATTCACATTTCCACTTAAATTCCAAAAAGAAAGCATAAATGTACATTTGCATAGCGTTTAAACGTATTTACATTCACTGAATGTGTACAAAATCGTTTAAAATTGAACAAAATCGAATGGAAACATGAGAAAAATATGCATTTTAGTTAGTTTTGTTACTTCTTATTCATAAGATTAAATTAAATGTATATATGTATATTTATGTACTTTTTGATCTTAACATTATTTAGATCTACAAGTTGTTTTTATACTGGCGCTGCTCTCCTCTTGTTGGCACAGGCCAACAATAATGAAAATAAAAATTAGCAAAACCAAGAACAGGAATATAGTTTTCTATACGTTTTTTATGTACTAAACTCAAATCAGAAAATTTCCAACACGTTTTTCGAGATATTTAACCCAAAATTTTATGTAATTACGTTTTTTTGGACACATTTCAAGAGATGCTTTAACTTCAATAAGTATTTTTTTTTCAGGACTTTGAAACGATCGATACGGAATTTAAAAATGATGTTCTTGCACTTCAAAATGTATTAAAAAAATTAAAAAATCATTGGTCATCTAGATATCTACTGGATTCGTTATACGAAAGAAGTACGACAAATTATTCTTTTTAATATTTTCAGCCATTCAGCGATTTCGTCTGTCTGAAAAGCTAACGTGACTACCGAGTTTCGGGTTTACAAATAAAAGATCCAGTACTTTAAAATAATTAAAGATTATATTGGAGATTATTGCAAGTAAATATATCCAAGTCCTTCTACTTGGTTATGATTGAAAATATCGTCTACCGGCAAGACTTTTTTGGGTCCTTTTCTATCCGGCAAAATATATTGCAGCTTTTTTCAGTTTTTTAATAATTCTGTTGTATAAGAAATCGTTTCAAATCTATATCTAAATTTTTCCATACATATTTGCCACACTCAAAAATGTTAACACAAAATCAAAGTCTAAAAAAAAATAAAATTTTAAAAACTGGTTTTCTAAAACAAAAACAGTACTTTACCAATCGATTTCAAAATAAGTATTTAACTATTAAAGTTACAGCACCTCAAATGTACCAAAAAATAAAACAAACTTTCGCAATTTTTGCGTAAAAATATCTCAAAAAAAATATATAAGCGAGATTTGTTCATCAAAAACCTTGAAAACAACATATTCCGGTTCTTGTTTCAAACATATTGTCGGCCTGTGTAGTAAACCTTTTTTTCTCTCTAGAAAATACGAGATCCCTACTCCAATGGAAGGGTTCGTTCACAATCGATTCGTCATTTCTTCCTTGTTACAATTGTTGTGCTAATAAATATGTTGTTGTTAATTTGTTAATGCTAAGCTGCAGCGTATTGCTGCTGCTGTGGTCCTAAACTTCTAAGAGTAGGAGAGAATTGCTTAAGTCTTGGGGGGCTGAGGCAGATATACTCTTTGACGTCTCGTCCGTGAATCATGATTTAATTTAAACCTAAAATAACTACGACCTTAGTTAATTGCTGCTGCTGCTGTAGGCGCTGTGGCTGCGAATGTTTGGCTAGTCGCCCGTTTTCAGACGCTTTACGGGACCGGGATCGCTGCCCTGTGAGTTGGAGTCTTCGGAGAAGGGCATGCTCGATACAAAATCGGCGCCCTGGCTGTCCGAGACGACGGAGAAACCTGTCCAGAAAATAATACACACAAATTAGTATAGGATAGCTGTAGGTCGGAGCGCTTCCTTACAGGTATTGGAGTCCTCGGCGGTCAGTCCTGCATAGCTGGGCGTTATCTGTGGCGGCGTGGGTGTGCCCTTTTGCGAGTTTTCCTTGTCGCTCAGCTTTCCGCCGCCGCCACCACCACCGACGCCTCCGCCAACGCCGCCACCGGCATTGCCACCCACCGAACCAGCGGGGGGCGGCGCCACGCCCCCACCGGCACCGCCGGTAAGCTGCTGCAGCTTGGACTTCTTTTCGCTGGCCGAAGAGATGGGCACCCATTTGTAGATCTTCATGGTGGTGTCGCTAATGGTAACCCACTTCTTCTCCCAGTGACGCACCTTGTCCACCGCCTGCATCACCCGCTTGATGTCATCCTTGGCCCGGCTCCGCGTCTCCGCCCGCACGCTGCGTGACATCTTTTTTTTTCACCTTTCCTTCCTCTCTTTTCCGAAAGTGTTGCCTGCGAAAATTGCGGCGTCTCGCGAAAAGCCGCTTGCTGTCTCTGTCTCCGTCGCTTTTCTCTCGATGTACGTACGCTCTTTGGCGGTGATAAGTTGCACTTATTGTTGTCTACACGTATTTCGATTTCGCTTATTTAGGTTTCTATATTTATTTAATTTCCTTTTTTTTAATGCTGTTTTAGTTGCGAATTATCGATTTGAGAACTATCGAATTGAGTATGTATTCGATTAGCAGCGGCAATCTTTGACAAGCGCACGTGTATATCGATAGGTCGTATTTTAGTGTGATAGCGAACGTATTGCACCAGCTGTAATCGGTGGTATCGATACAACCATCGTGCCACCAGATAGATTTAGTAAAAAAGGCTAAAACGGGCTAAATTGTAAAAATAAATAAAGACTAATTTAAGCAAAATTGGTAATTAAAAAACGATAGACTTCGTTTTACAATGTAAAAAAATTTGTTTTTAGTTTCTACATTATATTTGTCAAATAAGGACCAAACTTTCAACTTTTAAAACAAGGGGGCGTTATGGTGCAAATAATTTTAACAAGGCAGCTAATTTTGACACTTTTCTATTTCTACATCGATGTTATTACGAATGTAATATCGAAACTATCGGTTTTTAAGCCATTCCCAATTTTAATATATCACGTTAAATAATTTCTATTGTAAAAAATTTTAGTCGTTTTTTATTTTTCACGTTTTATCTCTTTCCTGATGTCTATAGTTAGCTCTTCTGATTTCTCGACTTTTTTTACAACCAACAACGATCCGACACCCGACAGCCAGCGAGAGAGAATTCTGTTAATGAGAGCAGGTCTGTTAATGAAAATTCTACATGTATCTGTAAACGTTTAAAATGTTATCCAGTCATGTCAAATGATAAATAACAGATTTGGGATTCCAAGTGACCAGAAAACAAATATCAAAGAGATATATTGTTGTTTTGGACTTTTGATATATATTCGACAACACAAAAACGACCGATTCTCGACATCACCCAAGTGAGAGTTCTGTTAACTAACATCCACCCGAAAGAATCCGAGACCGAATTTTACATTTTACATGAGAATTCGACCCCAAAACCGAGAATTCGACCCCATTTATCTGTAAACGTGTAGAACTGCTCTGTAAACGTGTAGAACATGAATAACAGAGGCAAACTGTTGATACTTTCGGTGTGACCAGCTGCCGTGGGCGGGAAAATCCCCCTCCCGTGCGACGAGCCTCCGGTTTCTCAAGCCGAAAACCGCAGAGCCACACTTTAAAAACAAAATTTTTCAAAGACGGATAATTATGCGTACGCTCCTCGTTTTTTTTTATATATTTTTTTTCGTAACCTACACTCCCCCGCCCAACGCCGAAATTCAAAACCACGCGAAACGCGAAAAGTGCTTTAGCAAATATTGTAGAGTGTAGCGTGGTGTGCGTGTGTGTGATTAAAATCGTTGCCTATTCGCAAGGAAACGAGCAAGAGGGGAATAGCACGGAATTGCAGGCGACGCCGCACAAAAAGATACAAAAAACAAAAAAAAAAGTTGCAGCAACAACGTGCGAGTGCGTGTGTATTGGTGTTGTACGTAAAAGCCGTTAAAGGAGTGCGACTGAGAGAGGAACAATGTAAAAGCAGGCGAAGGAAGCGACGAAAAGAGAGGCCGCAAGGTGGGGAAAGCGAAAAAACGAAAACCGCTGGAAAACGCACACGAAAACTTGTATTAAAAGTAGGGAAAGTCAACGGCGACGCCTCTGCCACTGCGCCCTCACGCACACACAACTACATGCAGGCGTGCTCGAAAAACACGCGCTCGCGTGTGTGTGAAAATTAACTGCATTTGTACATTTATATTTAAAACAACAAGGTGAAACCGCACGACACGGCGAAAACAACAAATACAAACCGAAGTGGACGAAAAAACCGGAGTCAATTTATTCTTTTTTTTTAAGTATCCGCTGATCTTTCTTAAATTGGCTAACACACACGCTAGCCAACGCACACAGGCGCGTGCTAGAGGTGGACGTTCTTATTTTTTTGTCTCTTTCGTTCTGTCTTCGATCTCTCGCGCGTGTTTGTGTGTGTGTGTGTGTTGTGTATTCCAGCTTGATAAGAGCCTAACAACAACAATGGGCGAAAAAGGCAGACAAAGAGGACAAGCGAAAAGTGCAAACAAATTGGAATAAATTTAACGAATTTGAAATAAAGTAAACAAGAAATTTCTTATAGAAAGACAACAACAAAGAACTGAAATATATGTGTGAATACATTTTATTATAAATATTTTTTTTGTGTGTATTGTGAAATTATTTAATACGAGAATTTTAAAGCTGAAATAAATACGTGTGAATGTGAAGTGTGTTTTTTTTTATCAAATTAATTATTTTTGCGTTTAATTTTAAATACTAAAAAAGAAATTCAAATTTCCACAGCAGCCGCTTCGAATGCCAGAACTTTAAAAAGTCACAGCTGAATTTTCCGCTGATTTTTCCCGTTTCCCGCGAAGCTGAAAGTCGCGCTGCCGGCGTCGCTGACGACGTCGACGTCGTCGATCCCATTTCACGCGTCGCCGCTTCGTCTCGCCGTCTCGCTCACCCCTCCCCGTGTCCCGCTCACTTGCGACTCGACGCCCCCATCTCCCCCTCACCCCCATCTCTCTCTCTCTGCAAACCCCCCTGCGGCACCCTGTCTTGCAGCCGTTTTAAACAACTTAAAAAAAGAAGTTCCAAAGAAATAGATTGAGAAAGAGAGACAGAGAGAGAGAAAGAGTGGAGCCAACTGTAGTAACGTCATCCAAAAAAAACGGCAAAACAAAAACAACAACAAAATCGGAGCGACATAACAACATCATCATTCAACAACAACAACAACAACCGCAACCGAACGCATTTCATTTCCAACTCCAACACCAACAACAACAACCGAAGAAAACGGTCATCGACATTACAACAACAACAACGTTAACATTGCAACATTAGCAAAAAGAGCAAAACAACAACAAAATAGCAATATCGAAAGACTGCAACAACAAAATAGCGAGAGAAACCAACAACAAAAACAGCAAATAGGAAAATGCCCAAATGCGATGTGAAAACGCGCTACATTCCTGCGACTTTCGCCTGGATTGTGCTGCTTTTAACCACATTTCTCTTCTTCTTTTACCCGTAAGTAGATTTTTCACCACAATTACACCAATACTTGTTATATTCTAGATTTGTAGGATTTTGATCAGTAGGACTCCGATATTTTTTAAGGTCTTTAAGGTCTGATTAAAATTGTGAATATATGAAATACGGGTTGAATATATTCACTAGTACTTTTAAAACAAATTTAATATTATAATCCATTCGTATTACATTGTAATATTTGAGATTTATCTGTAGATTTGCTTTGAATTACATCATGGTTGGGCACTAAATTTCAAGATTGGAGCCTTAAATTTAGGTTAAAGTATTCTTGTTTTCCTTTGTTGTTCTGAAAATCGCCTGGAATCGTGTTATTATTAATAGAACATTGAGAAATTCTTATATTAATTAAAGATATAAATAATGCCAGAGTTTGGGGGAAAACAAATTTGTCAAATGTCTTTCTTTCCATTAGTCGAAATCTCGAAAATGTCCCATTCAATAAATAAAAGTTGTTCTATTGTTACAAAAAACTAGACCAATCTGTGAGCAGAACTTACTTGTAGTAGTTTCCCTGAGTTCGCTGAAAGTTCATGAATATTGAATGTGCCTGAGGCAATATTTACTGTACCCCATACACACGCTCTCACTTTCCCAGTGGAGTGGAGTGGAGTGGATGGCATCCTTCGTCTGGAAAAACCGTTTTTCTCGCATTTTCCACCCAACGCCCACTTGGTAGTTTTGTTGCCACTGCCACTTTATTTATTTTGCTCGCATTTTCGTGGATTATAATGCATTATTATTATATGTGGGACAGCGAAGCTTGGTCTTATCCAGTCTTGTCCCCATTATCCACCATATATATCCCCGCCCATTGAATTTTCTTAGTCATCTCGCAGTCGCCGCAGTCTCGCTCTTGGGCATTCAATTTTCTGTTGCTTTGTGGGGTTTTAAATATATATATTTTTGTATCCAATTTTTATTATATCTGAAAATGGTTTTTATGTTTTTTCGGTTGTAAAAGAGAAGTTTTGTTTTGTCAAAAAAATAGAATGAAATAGATTCAGTCAGCTTTTGTCTCTGATTTTTGGTTTACACCTTGATTAAATTGCAAACTTTTAAACAACCATTGAAATTGTCATGGATTCTTATTAATTCATTTACAAATTTGCATTATAATTAAATGGCTCCTCTTTTCCTAATCAAATTTTCTGTAATTTAAAAGGTTTGTTTCCCTGTTAATTAAATTTTTGCTTGTATTCGCATTAATGCTAAATTATTCATTCATTTTAAATTGAGTTATTTCGCTGACAAACTCGAAAAACCATTCATTCATCATGATATTCTTCACGTCGTGTAAACACTTTTTTTCTTTGGTTTTTTGGCAGGAGAAGGCCAAGGGAGCAACAAATTTGCATAGCATGTGCACAATTAGCACATGAAACGAAACCAAAAATGCCAATTAAGCAGTCATTTCCAAGAGGGGGAGGGGAGGAGAAGCTCTCAACTCAACCCATTTTCAGTGCCTTTACCGCACAATTTTCCCTCTCGTTTTTCCTCCAGTTTTGCCTGCATTTAATGACGAATTTTTGTGTTCAATTGCAGTTGCAATCATTCTGTTTGGCATTTGCTCGTTTTTCATCAATTGCAAAACAATTTTTCAAGCTTTATGTGAAGCACTTTTTAGCTACACCTTTGTCTCTGCTTTCTGCTTAAATTCCTGTCATTGTTTTCTACACACAGCGAAAGGTATTGCTTTTATTTATTTGAATTTAAGATGCTTTCTGGCAAGCTTTAGGCTTAATTTTAAACTTGTGTGTTGCATAACTTGTTTCCATAACTTGTTTATGATTATTTTTAGTATTACCCTTTTAAAAAGGATATAGATTCCTTTTTTGGCAGTGTCCTTTTTTTGTGATACCTTTTTTTTCGGGTGTTTTTCCTTTGTCATGACTATCTCTCTATGCTGGAGCTGCTTGCCTTTTTCTTTGTGCTTTTGGCGTTGTGAGTAATTGACAGAAAAGAGGCGGGCAGGCGGGCCACGCCTTTTGCCACCCCACTTATCCCCCTGTGCCCCCACCGCCTTGCTTTTCAATTTCTCTGCCTCTGACTCTTGCGGCGACACTTGAGTTTTGCACTTTGTTTGCCTCCCTTGTTGCCTAGTTTGGGAATTTGTTTATTTAATTATGCTTTCTGTTTGGTGCTCCTGCTTCTCCTTTTTCCAGGCATTCCTTACACTCCTACACACACGATAAATCAAAGTTGAAAAAACTCATCACTAAGCCAAAAAAGGCTTCATTTTAATTCTAAAAGATTGAAAAGCTTAGTTAAAATTAAAGAAAATATAAATTATAATAAATATCTAACAATTTTAAAGATGCAAACCCTTTAAAAAATTAAAAAACAAATTAGTAAAATATGTTTTTCTGCTTAAAATAGCTAGATTGAGCCGTCTGTTGATGCTGATAAACAATTAGAGATGATTTATAACCCCGGAAATGATTTTTCCCCTTTTAAAATTAAAAAAAAATTGGTAAATTTCTTTTTCTGCCTGAGAAGGCTAAATTGAGTCGTCTATTGATGCTGATAAACAATTATATATGATTTTTAACTGCGTTACAGGCTTCTGCTTACAATTATAATACCCTGAAATCGTATAAAAAAACCCAGAAAAAATCCCTAACTAGTTTCCCCAGTGGACTCTTGCCTAGTTTCCGCGTTTTGTTTGATTATTAAACGACGACGTCACCTGATATGAAAGGGTGTGGTGTGATTGTGGTGTTGTAGAAAATTTCGGATAAGGAGGTTCGGGTCGGTTTAGCAAAAGTCCAATTACGACATACATATTTCATTATGGCGCTGGCTTTTCCCCTCTATATAACGCTCGCTTTGCTCTCAATGTTTTATTTTTCCCCTCAATGCCACAGGTTGCCTTTGTTACTATCACCGCAAAAAAATAAAATAAAATAAAAAAGCGAAAAAACACACACAAAACTACGCTTGACAAAACAAACCGAATCGGGGAAAATACACCAAAAAAAAAAAGGAAAAGTAAATTAAGTAAAACATGGCAGGGCAAACCGACGACACTGTTGCTGAACAACAAAAATAGCAACGGCCGCGCACACAGCAACAACAACAACAACGATAAAAACATCGGCAACAAACTGCGTCACAACAACAGCTTGGACAATAGTTTTAGCCACCACCCACGTAAAGGCCTCCCTCCCCCAAAGGTCCCCAAATGCCCCCAAATGCCCCATGCCACCAATCCCACCCCTCATTGAAATTCTAGAAGCCGCGCCACTCAGAGTGATGATTTTCTTTTTTTTTTGTTTGTTTTTTGTTGCCTTTAGTTGTCTTTTGCCTTCGTCGTTAAGTTTTCAAAGTCACTGTACTTCCTATATAGTCATCCCAAATACCAAGACACGTTTTAAGCCAGAAACAATACAAAAAAAATTGAAAAGATACAAGTCCTTTTTCTCACCTGGAACAATAGGATTTCCACTCAAGGAAATGGGATTATGGGAATTAGGAGTTGCATTATATTATATTTTCTTGTATGATAGGATAGAACTTTATTCCAGCCAAACTTATTTTAAAGAATTAATATAGTTTAAATGTACTTTTTTGTCATTTAAAAGATACACATTTTGTTATTAATATATTTCTTACTCATTAGACAGAAAACAATCAAAATGTACATCAAAATATCCAGGGAAAATCCATATAAACTTGCAAATATTGTATATAATTATTTAATTTAACCAACCAAGAATTTTATAGAATAGAGATTCAAGAAAAATTTGAAAAGATATAAGTCCCCACCTGGAAACAACACAATTTCACTCAACAAAAATGGGATTATGGAATTAGGAGTTACATTCCACCCAAACTTATTTTAAAGAATTTATTATAAATAATTTATAAACATATTTTTCTGTGATCTTATAGATACAGATTTTATAACTACTATATTTCTTATTCTTTAGACAAAAAAGCAATCAAAGTTACTCCAAAACACCCGAAATACCCCAAAAAATCCATTTAAACTTGGAAATATTTAATATTCATTTCATTAAACCAACCAAGAATTTTGCATTATATAAAACAATGTAATAGAAATTCAAGAAACTCCCAAAACCCTTTTTTATTATTTCTTTTGACTTTTAAAAAACCTACCCTACAATTTTCTCGCCAATTCTAAAAGCTAAACGATGAAAAGGAAGCGACACATTTAGCGGAAAATGAAGGAAAATGGGTTGAAAAAATGTATAGACCTGGTGGAGGGGGCGTTTGCCAAGTGAAAGTGACTTTAATTACGAAATTTTCAAGTAATTTAATTTCCGTTTTGTTGCTCTGACAACTTTCATCAAAAGAAAATTGCAAGGGGGGAAAGGGCTGAGCTCCTCGGTTTAGTCTTTCGCAGAATATTTTGATTTAAATAAAAAAATATGGCAAAAGAATCGTCCTAAATCAAGGGAAGGAGGTTAAGACAGTTGGTTAAGTAAAGGTAAAGGTAATCGCTTTGGGTCAGCAAAGCTTATCTGGTCTTTCATAGAAAGAAAGAAAAATCCCCGCCGCTACTCGACCCAATTAAATGTTGTTGGTAATTTGTGTTAAAAGCATTTCAAGGATTACACTTTATATTATTTTTTTGCCCCAGCTACAAGTTTGTTAACTTATGTAGCTCTGTGCGCACATTTTCCTCAGCGAGGTCCCAGCGGTTGTCTGGGTTTGATTTTCCTCTCATTCATTTTACTTATTGCTTATTACTGTCATTTACACTGAAAGAAAGAAAGAAAGCAGCAAACGGTAAAAGATATTGCAGAGAAAAGAACTTATTGAATTTTGGGTACAAGTAATATTAGTTTGGAAAAGGCAACAAAAACCTATGGAAAATAAACTTTAAGTACAAGTAATATTAGTTTTGGAAACGCAAAACTAACCTATGGGAAATATTTGTATAGATAATGTTACTATACTTATTTCTGTACTTGTTTTTGTACTTGTTTTTGTACTTGTTTTTGTACTTGTTT